CTGCCTGCCATCAAAGTTGAACAACCGGATTTGCCGGAAGTCAAATCGGAGTCAATCAAAGATGAGCCCACAGAACCCACGCATCCCATCCCATTCGGAGTCCACCAAGTCACTGGCACCACCACTCCAGCCTTTTCTCCACCTCCAAAAACACCTCCAGTCGGCACACTCCGCCACTGGAGCTTCCCACAAACCGCCACCTCCATCCCCTTCCACCACCACCAGCAGTGAAGACCCAGTCCTTCTCATGACCAACGTTCCTATCCTCAAGAAAGCACGCCCCGGCCAGCCACCGCTTCGCCCCCTCGCATACCAAGACCCTCCCTCCACTACTCTTGTTCCACCGCCTGCTCTCGCTCCCTCACTGCTCCGCCCACAGCCCAACACGGGCCATCCGCCTCCGTTACAGACCGCGCCACAATGACCGCATTCTACCCTTTCACTTCTCGCATCACATCCTCGAATACTTGGACTCCAACAAGGACCGGCCTTCCACCATTCTAGCGGCACCACCTTATCCAGCACCACCACCAGCTTTCCCTGCGCACGGCATCCCACCACCCCCACAGCCCGCACCACCAGCTCTGTTTCCACCACTTCCCCCACTACCAGAACTCCCACTCACCGATCAACAGGCCAATCAACTTACCACTGCTATCCTGCGGATTGCGCGCCGCGCGGCTGCTGCAGCGGCTACCAATATGCTCACTGACCACGAGCCCTGAGGCCAGCCCGCCATCTCTGTTGTTTCACACGACAACGGCTTCTCCCGGCCGCGGAAAAACTTTTATCCGTTATGGCGCACAAGTGTTTCACACTGAACCTTTCCACTCAATTTCCTGTCCCAATCACATGAACTGCATAACTGCATATTACCGTTTCCGCAGCCGTTTACACTTCATTTGGTTTCTTTTGGTTTTTCTCGCCTCCCATTCACTGTCCGCGATGAGTTCCCATCCGCCGCCTAGCGAAGCCAGCGACTCATCCTTTTGGGCTTCTGTCTACACGCAGGAGCCGCCCAATGTCCTTTGCGGAGTCCTCACAGACCTCAACCTCCATCGATTCACACTACATCAGCACCTGTCCACACACCGGGCCCTCACAGAGACGCCACTCCTCCACCCACCTTTTCATCAAGCTTTGCCAGCCCCCCCACTACACCACACCACCACCTCCCGTCCTCTGATGATCTTGCCCGAGCACGAGAGAAACTCCAGGCACATGGACTGGAGCTCACCCCCAAGAAAGACACGAGCCGTCCCAGCGCCCCCTCCAACCACGCCCCACCACACCAACCACCGGCGCTCCCAGACGTGCTTCAGCCGTCCTACCCCACCCTCAAGGACGACGCCCCAGAAGCATGGACCGCACCATCCACCCAACAATGGATGAAGTCCTTCGAGCCCAAAGTCCAAGAAGCAGCTCAGGAAATCTTGCGTCTACTTCAGACTAGCAAAGTTTCTACGGACCAGCTCAAAGAAGCCGCGACCCGTTACGGCCTCCCCTTGATTCGAGTGAACAAACTCTCGATCAAGAGCCTCCAACACATCGTAAGCGTGGGGGCTGCCATCGCGTGCTGACTAGCCCTGAACAGCCAAAGCCAGCCACATACAACTACACTCCAACAACTCTTCCGTCTCCACCAAGCACTCTCCACTCTCATCCACTTCAGCCAATACATCGAGCGTGCCGAGGCCCTCTTTTCTGTGGGCCTCATACACATCACACTTCTCTTTTGCTACCCCTCATCCACCCAACGATCCCAGCAATGGCGCCAACGATTTCAACACCTCCACATTCAACCTCACACCTACCACTATCACAACTTTCTCTCCTCCAATGCAGTATATGTCAAACTCTACTTCAACCCCACCATCCCACAGCGCTGCTACCACCAACACGGCCACTTTTACATTGGCTCTACTGGCATCGGCATCCCGCACAGGGAACACAACCGTCGTGCAAAACTCAAACAATTGCAGAACAACATCCCCATTTCAGCGGAACTCTCCCTCCGCTACTGGCATTCTCACAACAACATCCACCACTTCACACCCATTCAACTTTCCTCACATGACAATTACGACCAGGCCTGGATCCAGGAACATTACCTCATTTCCAACTGGATGCCGCCACTTAACTGGCCTTTCATCTCCCACCACCTCAAGCTCAAAGCTCACGGCTGGCAGTTCACCAAGCACCGTGCTCACTTCTACTCCCGTCTAGCCGCCCACAAGCGACTTTTCCGCAAGCTTCGCAGACGGCAACATGCCATCCACGAACCACATCTCTTTACCTCCACTCGACTGCACGCTCTCGCTCTTCTCCGCAATCTCACCAAACACACTCGAGCATCCTTTGAAGCAGCCAAACAACTGCGCAGCGGCCAGCATACAGACCTGGAGGTCTACGCCATTCGCCAACCTGGAGGAGCCTGGACGCAGCAGAGCACTCCATGCCATTAACCAGGCCCTCAAGTATCGCAACCTCAGCCCGCCCAAGCCCAACATCCCCCTCACCGTACCGTTTTTGGCCCACGACCAGTTTCCCAGACATTGTGAACAGTGGCTCAAAACCACCATCCAGCAGCACAAGCACCTGGCCATCCCGCTCCACTTGCCTACTCACCGTTTACGGCAAGCGGCCCACAAGACCCTCCGAGCTCACTTGCACAATCACCGCACCTGGGAAGACACCTTGCACAATCCTCAGGCCGCCACTGACTTGCCATGTGCTTGCACTCACCTCAAAACCATCCTACTTGATCAAAACACTCCCACGATCGACAATCACTACATCCTCACCCTCGAACAACTTGCATTACCACAGCACCTCCGCATCTTTTTGGCAGCCAATATGAACAGCACCTTTTATCCCAGCAAGGCCAGATACTTCCTTACATTCCAGACAGCATTCACAAAATGGCTACGCATTCAAGGCCTCCCACCCTCACTCGCACAACATCTAGAACCTTTCCTCCAGCACCAATGGAAGCTCCACATCGACCAATTGAAACAACAGCCTCGCTTCACAGCTCGTCTCCTCCGCCAACTCCAGGAATTTCTTGGCGACCAAGTCGTCCTCCATCACGCTGACCACGAACTACAACAGCTGCGCATTTTTTGCCCCCGCCAATACTTCACCGGGGCGCTTGCAACTTGGCAGACACCGGAACTCTTTGCACCCATGCCAACTCTAAAGACTTCACGATCCCATACGGGATCGTCCACCTCAAAGAGAAGAAGCACTGGAGGAAGGGTCGCACCATTATCTCATACTTTCAATCCCTCAGTGGTAACCTCCTCCGCATTACCAGCAGAGCCCTTGACATTATCCTGCAACACCTTTTTCCACAGCTTCCAGGTCAACTATCAATCCCACAACTGTGGTCCCACTTCCACTGCTACCTCAACGACACACCACCTGACATCCCCCTACATGCCACCAACGATGATCTTGTGGGCTTCTTCAACTCAGTTCCACAACACCGCCTGATTGACGCCGTTCACTCCCTCGTTCAACAATGGCAACGCCAGAATGACACCCACACCCTGACCGTTGACACCAAAGCCACTGGCAACCCTTTTCACCACTCCCACGTTGGCCGGCACCACCGACGCCACCCCACACAACGCACCATTCACACTGCAGACATCACAACCATTGTAGCATATGCACTCGACACCTGCATTTTCCGGGCATGCAATCACACCTACAAGCAAATCCGGGGGGCTGGGATTGGCTCCCAGCTCTCCCCCGCCCTTTGCAATGTCGCCATTACCCTCATTGAACACTCCTGGCAACAACTACACAACAACTTCCTCCAGCACACAGCTCTTCACTTTGCCTATTACCGCTACGTTGACAACCGTTTCATCGTCCACAATGAACATTTCCTCTCACATCCCGCCATCCAAACCCTCATCCACAACAACTTTTTCGGCGATCCCGTCGAATTGGAGACGGTGGACGACTTCCACCTATTGGGGTTCAACATCGACCTCCAGCAACGCACCATCACCTACATACAACCCACCCAACCCTGGAAAATCAGGGACCACACCAGCGCCGGTAGCCAGCGCTTGGCTCTGTCCGGCTTAGCTTCACGACTTCACTCCATCTACACCTACACCTTTCCATCCCACCATGCTACCGCTGCGGCTGAAGCTTTGGTCCACCTCTACGCCCAAAAAGGGCATGACCTGCACGCGTGCAGGCGGTTTTTGAGAAAAAGACTTGCGTTTTCCACCGCTCGCTCTGTGCGCCGACCACGGCGTGTTGCGTGTGTCACACCCTGGTTCTAAGGGTTTTCCACCTTTTCACCTTTCCACTACCACCGAGATCGTTCTTTTTCCATTGATGTGAATTCATCACAGGCAGGGGGATGCCCCACATCTGAAGAGAGGGCATCTAACAAAGAGGCTCTTCAGGTTGTGCTGATATCAGCAAGGACGCTTGCTGACGTACCTGCCACAGATTTGAACTTGTGCCCACGCTGTTCCAATTTCTTTTGTTTGCTTCCATGGTAGTTCATGATACCTCCCCCAAACCCACCGCCGTCTTGCGCCGCTTTGCAGCCGACTTTGAGTGCCAGATCGTTTTCGAGTGCAGCTGCCAACACTGTTGAACAATACAGTTTTTGCGGACTTATGCACCTTTCCGTTCCCTCGCCTTTCTTCCCAACGTGGCAATTGAGTCTAACTGAAAACCCAAGTTCGAAGTGTGTCGCAGACATTCCCAGAAGACCTTGTGAGACTTTCATCTCTTTGGCCAGATCACAGGTTTACAGCCCACAGCGCCCTGGGAAGATCCGCAGATGGCTGTGCAACGAGCAGCCCAAGATGCAATGGTTAGGCCCTCAGGTCTCCCGGTTCTGGGAGAGAGAAGTCCCATGGTGGCTGAACCTAATAGCAATGGCCTCCATCATAAGAGCGATGGCCTCCAACCTACTAGCTGAAGCTTGCTAGCATAATTATTGGCCTGCGGCCACATAATTTCCATGTGAATCATTTCACAGATCTCAGCCTTTGCAGTGCGGTCTTCAAAACGCAATCTTGGTAGGCAAAAGCAGATTTGGCTGAGCTGTTTATATATATATATACTTGTATCTTCCCACTCTCCACATTCATATACTGTCATTCTGAATGGTTTCAGGTTGAAGCTAAATCAAAGGACAGACAATCACTAGTCAATGGATGAGTAATTAAGTGTTTCAGTCCTTGGGGGTTGTCGCCCATTCTAAATTGAATCCTGAATTTGGGCCATTCAGGTGGAGTACCTCAGAGCTTTGGAGGAGTTGCGGCGGAGCTTTGTCCTCGCAGAGGTACCGGACTGCTGTTTGACAGATGCAATCAGAAGCCTACAAAATGAATGGAACAGGTCCTGCATCAATCCACTGGCTGCAAAGTCACTGAGATTATTTAATTTGTATTATAGATATTGAGACGCTAATAGATGAGCCCTGACAGAAGCTGCTTGACCAAATTCAGCTAGTAGCCGCATTCTTGACCAGTGTGGCACCTAAGTCTTTAAGATTCATACAGATTCTGTGGTTTGCTTTGTCTCTTTCTGTTTCTCACGGGGGTTGAATGAGTTTTTCGAGAATCTGTTAGCTAGATCATGGCTCTCCTCAACCCACGTTGAGCACTGCGTGCCAGGACAAGCACCAGTTCACATGTTTGCACTATGCAATACGAGATGCCTATGCTGGATGTTTCCCGATCTTGAGGCCAGGGGCTGAACTTCTGACCAACCGCAAAATCGTCACCCCAACAGCAAGCGTAGAGTTAATTGTTGCTCATCCAGGGACTAGAACTCGCCCAGTGTAAGCTGGGCGCATTGTATGCAAAGTTAAAGTAGACATAAAATAGTCCGGATTATTTCAGTACTGCCGCATTGCCACCAATCGAAACGCAACGTGATTGTCTTCTTCGGGTTTTTCAGGTTACTCCTTTCCAGCTGCTTCGAGTTCCCTGAGCCGGAAACTCGGAGCTTGGGCAGTCAGAACCCCTTTCATCTTGGGAAAACGACTTGTTTGAGATGCAAATGTCTGCTTCAGACACTGTTAGATGTGTTTTGCACCCTCACACTGTCCAGAATTTCCCTAAAACTAGGAACCGAATCATTAGTCCGAGCGTGAGCTATCCTGCGTACAGTTACTAGAAGCTACATAGTCGCCTGAGCTTACTAGTTTGTCCTTTACTCAATCAAGTAGGTGCCTAAATCGGTGCCTAGTTAATCAAGTAAGCAGGCAGCGCCACTCAGACCAACAAAAAAGTTCGGGCCAGTTCGGGCCCCTTTTTTCTATCTGTTTCTAGGCAGTGAAGGTTCAGCTCTTTAAGTTGGTGTCGCCCAAAGCTCTGGTCAGGGGTCGAGAGGTGGACGAACTGATGCGACACAAGCGCTTCCAGCTTCAGCCAGGGTCCAATCCTCGGGAAGTAGCGCTGAAGCAGCGCTAAAACCACAAGTTGATGCGGTATGGCCATGTGTCGCATAGGTGAGGAGATGTTCCTGGTGCCAAATCCCCTTGTGCGATTGATTCACACTTGAAACAACATGAAGCAAAAACGAATCGCATGAAAGGCCAGGGCTGTTGACAAGCCTGTGCAACCACATGGTTGACAGTCAGGCTCACCTCGCTATTTTCATACGTTCCAGACCTGTTTCCCGTGACAGAGCACATTATTGAAAGGCCATTGAAACTGCTGGTGCTTTGCGAAGGGCGAAGGGGCAATGCTTAACAATCTGTATCAATTCGGTCTAAGCGTCCATACTCCTAGTAGCGGTGCCAGGAGCCCCTAGAAGCGTCCTTGCTCCTAGTAGTAAGGCCAGGAGCCCCTAGTAGCGTCCTTCCCCTAGTAGCGTCCTTGCTCCTAGTAAGGCAAGTGCATGCCGTTGGACACATGTTGCCACAAGCCAACGCTGACCTTTCAAGCCATACATACAGCTCTCGGGGAGCCTCCACCGTCCTGTGCGCTCTCGCCGCTTGGCTGGACAAGCTTCATGTGCGCACAGCCCACCTCAATCACAACCCTCTGGTTGTTGGGTTAATGTTGCTGCAAGATGTCAAAAATTGCTTTGCACAACGCAAATAAGTAATTAGAGAACAGGTGGCATTCCATCTCCTTGGCTGTTGTCACGCGTGATTCTTACGCCTCGGCTGCATTCCCACCTCACCATTGACCAAGGCTTGCAGCCATGGGAAAGACAAGAGTCATTTCCAAGGGCTACCGCCACGGCACGCGTGACAAGCATCTCGGATTGTCTTGACAACTAACTATTCTGAGTCAGAACCCCACAAAGCAGTGAGCAGAAATGCACACAAATGAGATTAAATATGTTGTCTCACTTATGACATCTTATGACTATGTGTCCTACTTCTAGCAGAATTTCATAGAATGTCTATCAATTTCTACTAGTAGCAAGGACGCTATTAGGTGGAGGCCATCGCTATTAGGGTGGAGGCCATCGCTACTAGTAACAAGAAGCTACAAGCAACAAATGTAAGCCCTCAAAGTGTGTGCGATGACAGACTGAAAGATCTGGAAGCCGGCACGGATGCAGACTGTTCTGAGTGAAGCTTGTGGAACAAAATGGAATTACATTAATATAAAAGAATTACTAGTAGCGATGCGCCGCGCTAGCTACTAGCAGCGTCCTTGCTACTAGTAGTAATGCCAGGAGCTACTAGTAGCTTCTTGTTCCTAATAAAATCTAATAAATATTTCGTTGTTTTCGCATGTTTTCGCCCAAGCTGAGGTATTCCAAGAAGTATCGCACCAAAGGTTTGTCAAGCCCTCAAAAGTGGAGTGTTTGGAGCATTTCTAGTTCGGCAAGTTCCCCAAAGGCCCGGTTTGGCCCGGTACTTGGTGAACTTCAAGCGTGGCGACTATGTGGACATTGTGGTTGATCCCTCTGTGCAGAAAGGCAGCATGGGATGGGATCTCAAGGGTACAGTATGTCAAATATGATTTTGTGACTGCGAATCTATTCTCTCATGAACCATGTGTTTGTTTGGCGGTTGTCAGTTTCCTTAAATACTTCACGGGCGTGCAACCCACTTACAAAGAACATAGGTGCCTCTCAGTGTTGTTATCCGGCCCCACAAGACAAGCCATGCTTTCATACAAGACATGCCTCCAGGATCACCGGTGGCACTCTTGGCTAAATTGTGGTGTGTTGTCATTGTGCACAGTACGACGGACTTGCAATCCCCTTCTTGTTGCTGCTGCTGCCGCCGCTGCTGCTGCTTCAAGCATTTTTGGGAGGCATGCCTTACTCCTTCTACCATGGCCGCACGGGTATTGTCTTCAACGTGAACAGGAATGCCTTGGGTGACTCGCAGACATTCAGGAGCCGCATGGTTCTTCCTTCTGTTGCTTTGTCCACAGCGGGTTCAACATATGAGCAATTGTCATGCAGTTATGCTGATGTGTTTTCACCAAAGCCTATTTCACCAAAGGTGTTGAGATCACCAAGATTGTGGGCAATCGCCAGCTGCGCAAGCGTATCCATGTGCACCAACCCCAGAAGATTTGCAGGATGTTTTGATTTTTACACCAAGAATCGTTTCACTGGGAGTCGTTTCACCTGTAGTAACTGTAGTAACAAAAAAGCTTTTTAGATATTTTTAGTATGTCATTGAAGCTTCTTAGTAACAGTTCTCATGGACACTCACCCTTCGATATCCAAGGCGCATTGAGCACGTGCGCAAGTCCCGGTGCAACGAGGCAACTGGACTTCAGTTGAATCAATTACACATGTGCAGACAACAATCTAGAAGATATGATTGAAGTTTCTGACTAACTAACACATGTGTTTCCTCCCCTTTGCAAGATTAAATTGAGATACAAGCCACAAGCCACAACGCTCAGCACTTGCTAGCACCACAGCCCTGAGGCTTTCAAGCACCGGGTGAAGGAGAATGACCTGAAGAAGCAGCAGGACCGGTAGTCAGAGTCGCTAGTCGAGGAGCAGAGACGCGTTCAGAGGACTCGTTCTTTTTGGGCATTTGAAGAGTACCCTGCTGAATACGCCTCCTTTGAGGTCACTATCACTACGCCTCTCTAGACTAGATAACGTTGGGAGTACAGAATACATACGGTGTGTGTATATTTATATATAATATACAATTACTCTACTACACACAAAGTGCCTTTCCACCGACTGCCGTCCACACCAGGCCAAGAAGGAGGGCCGCACCATTGTGTGCAAGCGAGAGCCAGTTGGGCCACAAACTCAAGACCGCCAGTGAGAGTGGCCCATCCCACCCCGCAGAACTGCTCCAGGATGTGTGTGTGTGTGTCTCCCCGTCTCCATGGAGATTGTTCACACGATGTCGCTTGTGCACCTTTTCGATTCTACTCTCTCAACCTTCTTCTTGCACGCAGAAATAGATCGCAGGGGGACTGGAGCCGATTTGCTCCAGTCCAACGAAGCTATGAAATTGTGGTAGGTGGGTCATTTGATCATCCACTTGTACCTGAATATATTTGATCGATGAATGTAAACTATGTCGTTTTGACCTTTCGCCTTACCGTTTGCACAGGGCCATTGCAGGTTCATGAGATCGTTCTCACACTAGCTATATAGGTCCTAAAGAGTTTAATGCTCTCTTGGAACAACACTGAAGTGTGCTCTTGCAAGCTCTTCTCAAGTGTGTGTGTGTGTGTGCATATAATCCAGCTCAAACGAAGTGAACGCTCGTTTTCACACTCGATATCAAAAAGGGCTTCGCAAGTCGTGCATGCCCCTCTACAAGCATCAACCTCACGCAAACCACGAGAACATAGGGATTCGCTCCCCCTTCCCGTGTTCACTCGGGATATTGAATCCCTCCAAACACATGAACACTTTCGGCGCACTCTTCACACCAACATTGAAGAAATTCAAAAGTTCGAGCGTCAAGACTCAAGCCCTTCTTCTCTTCCGTCTCTCTCTCTCTCTGCCAGCTTCTAAACAGGTGCCATCTAAAAAGACTCATCCCTCGACACAAACCATCACATTCCCCAAATGAATGGAGACTCAGTCCAGGGTTCCAGAGCTTCCATAGCCCCTGCCAAGCCAGCCCCAAAGAAAACCTTCATGAGGTAGTCGAGAGCTTCACCCAGAGCCCATAGTCCCACCACTGCCAGCCGACCTGACTTCGGAGGGACGTGCCAGGATGCTATAGCCCGACCACCTCTGCTTCAAGTAATGCATACCATGGCTTCCTTTTCGGACATCTGAGCAGCGTTTTTTTATTGAATGATAAACTTTAGATTAGACTGTAACTCCACAAGTGTTTGCGAAGGCATTCGTGTGATACATTGTGTGTAGCGAAGGCTCGCGAAGCCTTTGGCGTAGGCTGTTGGATTTCACACAGGCGAAGCCAACTCGCGAAGGCAAACTTAGAGTCTATGAAAGGTTGAACTTGGATTCTGGCGTGCAGGGACACTCTAGTTCTCCAAGTTCCTTTGTTTTGTGCAGATGGATCTTTTTTGTTTAAACCAGTTGTTGGCGTGTGTATTGGGCCCAAAGGGGTAGTATACACGCACAGACAAGACTTCTTGTAGAGTGAGACTGAGTCAACACATCCATGACACATCCATGACTTTGCTTGGAGTTCGAGAGAAAAGGCAAACACTAGCAAGATTTAGAAGCTAAAGGCAAGAAACTTGGAGCCTGTGAACATGGCGTGGACGACCGAGCAGAAGATTCGCATGAGTGGTGCAGCAGTGGGTCAACCATATTGACGCTTACCCTTGTCAGCGTTTGTTGTTTGTTACTGTTATTTTCTTTTGCGCTGATTTCTCTACAGAGCCACTTTGGCCAAGCATGTAAGGGGTGTTCATTTCACCTGATGGCAAGAAGTTTTATTCACGCAGGGCTGCTGTACAGGCAGGCATGGAGGATGTAGACCAGGGGCATGCTAACAGGCCTGATGATTCAGACCAGGGGCATGGCATTAGCGATTCTAGACCTGTTGAGCCAGAACCCATTCAGGATGTTACTTGCCTCACTTTCTGGCATGTTGTTCCCCCTTTTCTTCCGGCGACCTGGCGTTTGCCAGGTTACAGGGGCTGACGTGCACGATGGGGAGGTCGTTGCGCAGAGTGCCACAGAAACTTCTTCTACTCGATTGCTCGCAGGGCCTGATATGGGCGATGGGGAAATCGTTGCACCGACTACCCGTACCACCTTCTCTACACCTAGTGTGGCTGTCGCGCCTGTTCAAAAAGGAGGTCCACCTCTGGAGCCACTGCAGGCTGTGTCGAAAAAGCGGCCTTTGGCACACTCTCCTGAGGCTGAGTCAGTTTCTTGTTTGTAGATGGCTTTGTTGGGGATGCTTCTTTTGAACCTTTGCACCCCCTCAATCTACTACTTTGGGCCAACCTCCAGGATGTAGACGACGATGGAAATCCCATGCCCAAAGCCTGGCGTCGAGGATTCTGGACAGGAGAGCCAACATGGCAAGGCACTGGCCCACAGCCTGGTGATATTAACGAAGTCGTCCGCCGACATGTTGCCCAGAAGGCTGTGTTGCCACCAGGACCTATTTCTGCACATTCTGAGATTGATGACTTGCTGTCTTCTGCAGCCATGAGGTTGCGCAAAGCTGCTGCCAAGAAGAAACGTCAGGCAAAGGCCCTGCGCGTATCTTCATCTTCTGACTCCTCAACTTCGAGCTCATCTTCAACGTCTGAAGCTTCCAAATGAATGAATGGCTTAAGAAAAGGAACCGTCGGAACCGCGAAAGCATTTCGCGAAGCCTCTGGTGTTGCGCGAAGCCCCGCGAAGCCACCCTTCCCACAAATTCTGACCATGCGAAACCTCCAGCGTAGGCAACCCAACAGTGTATAAGCACTTTACCTTTTAAAAAAACACGGCTCATCTGAGCGAATCATCAATCGCCCATCATCCATCCACGCAATGGTGATGACTCCAGAAGCCAAGCCAGAATCCGACAGTGGGACCGACAACTCGCTGTCAAACAGCTTCCTTTGCCAGCCACCGTGTCGGTGAATCTTCAAGGACACAATTCCCTGAGGAAATCGCAGGACCCCTCAAATGGCGTTCCACACACCGGCGTCACGCTCACGATGTCCGTGACCTCTTTGGAAAATAGCCACGAAAACTCCTGCAACTCATTCCTCTTCAGACGGTCCAGGAAGATCGGCATAGTCGCCCCACCTCGTGAAGTGTATACTTCAAAGAAGAGGTTTCTCGGCATCTGACTGCCAGCCCATTCCTCACCACCATTTCCATCTTGTAGTAGACCGTAGAGCTCCGCCATCGGATAGGTCTTCAACCCTGGTTTCAACCCTTCTGACTGCTGGATTGGAACTGCCAAAACCACCCCCTCCTCGAGATGTAGTCGACAGCTCACGTCCCTCAGCCAAAGGAGTCTCTGCAATCTTCTCAATGATGATCTGTGCGATTCGGTCACCCACCTCGAACGACTTGGGTGAGTCACCATGATTGGCCAGAATGACCTTTACCTCTCCTCTAAAATCAGCGTCGATCACCCCTCCGGCCACGTCCACTCCCTGTGATGCCAAAGAGCTCCTCGATGCAATCCTACCATAGTGCCCCCAGGGAATCTCCAAGGCCACCCCGGTTGACAGCAACTTCCGTTCTCCAGGTGCTAGATGACACGCCATCGTTGAGCAAAGATCCCAACCAGCTGCCCCTTCAGAACCCCGTTGATTCTCTTCTAGCAACTTCACCTTAATGCTTTCCTTTCCTGCCACAATGCGCTGCAACAACTTCACCCCAAAGTCCTTGATCATGTGGAGCAAACAAACCAATCCTGCCAGGACAAGCATCCAGCCCAAATTGCCCAGCACCGATGACTGACCTCCGGTCTCCGGTCCTCCTTTCTCGCATACTTCAGCAGCAGCACCCCGAGGAAGAAGAGACGCACCCGCCACCATGATAATCTCACACCCTCACCATGCACCTCGACCATCTGCTCGGTGTACTGTGTGGTGTGGTCCCGACTCAAATGGATGCCTCGGCAGAACTTTTCCAGTGACTGCGCAGGAAGCGATTTAGTCAAAGCGTCTGCCCACAAAGCACTGCCCATCCTATGGTCCAGAGTCACCTCTCCCACCTTCAGAGCTTCAGCCAGACAACTTGCACGGATTCGAAGGTGGCGAGTCCTCCAGCCGCCTCCAGAACCAGATGCCAGCACAATGGCAGCTCTGTTGTCGTTATAGAGCTCCAAATTCACCTTCTCAATCAGAAGCTCAACCAACGCCCGTACAGATCTCCCAACCTGTAGTCCCTCCACCAAGGCTGTTAGCTCCGCTTCAGCTGTGGACAATGCCATGAGACTTTGCTTCCTGGTTTCCCATTGGACTGGGCATCCCGCCAGCAAAATGATGGTTCCTGAAATGCTATGCCCATCGCCGGGACTGAAAGATGCATCCACCAACACCTCCACCGTGCCTTTCTCTCTTGGTCGCCGTCGAGCCAAATCTGGGTCATTGTCGACCGGCACGCCGATGGGGTAGAACAAGCCGGCATCCACCGTGGACCTCAAGTAAGCGAGAACCGCTTCACCCATCTCCAAGGTCCATAGGGGACGCTTCACTGCAGCTTGTGACATCTTCATCACGGCCCACGCAATGTCCGGTCTCGTTTTGCTGGCTAGCCACAAAAGCTCTCCAGTGATCTTCTAAGCTTGGCCAGAGTGGGACTGATCTCCTCCTTCTCTTCTGGAGCCTTGATGAACATGGCCTTGCCTCCATCTCCATGTCTTTCCAGGACCTCTCGAACATAGCTTCCTTGGTGCAAATGGTAAGTGCCATTCTTCAGACGCTGGATCTCTATGCCCAAGAATCGCATCGAAGGCCCCCCTGGAACGGAGTACTCCGGGTTTGAAGTCGACCATACTCTTTGGATTGTCGAAGCCACATCTGTGACCTCCTTGTCTCCAACCATGAGGATGTCGTCGACATACACAATCATATAGCCAAGGACCTTGCCCCACTCCTCAGATGAAGTGGGCCCCCTGTTCGTCACCTCCTTGATGGCCCACAGGTTTGAGTCCTTCAAAGGCTGAAATCCAAAGTGCACCACCTCCTCATCGACCCCCTCGTGGGACATGGTGACGTTCCCTCTCATCTTCAGCAACTCAGCATCCCTATACACGCTCCAATCCTTGGGCGATGTCACCAACCCATACATAGCCGAAGAGACTACCCAATGCTCGTCGGGTTTGGCCAGCTGAGCATCGACAAGGATTCTGGGCGGTTTGACAATGACCAGATCTCCCTGTGCCTTTGGTGCAAGAAGAAAAGCTGCTTTCACATCCAAAGACAGGCACTGCCAGTTCTCCAAGGAAGCTGCTCACAATGTGGCCCGCAACTGTGTCGAGTCAGCCCCTGAGGCATAGACCTCTTCTCCAGAACGGGATTCCATGTAGTTGCCACAGCAAACAATGCGAGCACGTCTTCTGCCATCGCCAGCCTTCCTTGTGAACACTCCCATCCCAGGGATAATTTCTGCCCTCTGGCCATTGCTCTCGGCCTCCTTGATCAAGCTCAAAGCCTCAACCTCGGAAACCCGGTGAATCGCCTGATTGGAGTCGAAGTTCTGGATCTCATCTTTCAGAGGTGGGACCCACAGCGGCAGTGACTTCTTCACCTCGTTCAGGCTGATGGTGCGTGTCTGCAAGAAGATCTCCTCCTCCTCATGCTCCATCACGGCAGCCTCACACTCCATCTTCCTCAGTGAAGCCCCAGACTCTAGCAGGAACTCCTCCAAAACTGCATTCTCACTGTCCATATCCATCACCAACGGAACCTCTGCAAACTCCTGCAAGTTGGCCTCCAGAAGTTGAAACTCTTGATTCGCCCACGCCTGACCATGCAGCAACCGTTGTTGGACCACCTCCACACCGACTTGGGCCAGCGCCGTCTTCTCTGTCAGACGTCTTTTGGGCTTGACCGTCTGGTCCAAGATGCTTGCCGGCTCCGTTCGCTCTGTGACATCCACCACATCGGTTAACATAGGAGGATCACCTGCCACCACCATGTCATTCGTCCTGACGAACTTCCCGGACTCCACCTCTACCAGGTGACCACCACTCGTCAGACTCATGTGACCCCGGGCTTCTTTCTCGACCTCCAATGTCCTTGAAACTCATCCCACCCCTTGGTGGTGACCATCACCTTTTGTCCCCAAGGCATCAACCGAGGCGTAGTGAACCCCAGAGTGGCCAGCTGCTGGCGTCCTCGACGTTCACCCACATGCTTTGCCATCAAGGGCCAATAATCCTCCCCGTCTCCTGAAGACCTGATCAATGTGTTGATGGCCCTCCGAACGACACCAATTTCTGCATCAGCTCTTCCATTGGCCTTCCAATCGCTGCCGCATGTGAAGGTCCGGTACAGGCCTCGCTCCTCCCCTCATCTCTCCAGCTGCGTCGCTGTGAACTCTCCTCACATCCAGACCCAGATACTTGAGCCTGGCGATCATCTTTGCCAGGCAAGCCTTCACCTCCGCCACATTCCTGGAAACGAGGGTCTCGACCATGGTGTAGTTTTGGATTTCTATTCCCTCAGCTTCGACTTCAAGCCTTTTCCACTCTTCCAAGATCTTGTCATCATCTTCCTTCTTCGCCGGTTCCACCACCTCTTCTTCCTGCACAGCAGGCTTCAACTCCTCAACCTCCGGCTCCTCACTCACATCAGGAACCCCCAGCGTCTCCTCCAAGCTCAAAGGAAGCGCCATCGTTCTTCCTTCCACCTTCCGAACTGGAATCGAGAACACGCCCACCATGAAGTACTTGGCCTTGACCATCCGATCCTGACCAGGCCGAAAAGGTCCACAAATGTCAACACTCAAAGTCTGGGCATCAGGATGTGGAACCTTCTTGTGTGGTCGGCTCCTCCCACTTCCCTGAAGGCACGTAGTGCACTCTCTGGAGTATGGCAGATGGTCATTGATCACATGCTGCCTCCACTGCTCTGACGTCATCTTGGCAGCCAACATACGGCCATCCCCACATCCTCCTCTGGACTTGTACTCTTCGAGCTCCAGCAGGATCCCCTTGGTCACCTCAACCTTGAAGTCAACTGGCCAAGCAGCCCATGACCGGCTTTCAGACGTTCTCTGTCCCAGGCTGTTCGTCACCGGTTGAAGCCCACCCGCTGGTCGCCTATCTGCCAGACCTTCAAGCTGTTGCAGATACTTGATATTGGTGCCCAGCGTTGTTGGCTTTCTCCTCAAGTGACCCATGGCACCGAAGTCCAGCCTGATCTCCATGATCTTGAACTCCTCCGCAAATGCTTTCCATTCAGGCCACGCAAAGAAGGAAGGGTAGTCCACTGCATCATCGGCTCCCTTGTATTCTTGAGGATCTCTAGGGTTTTCTTTGAGGAACAGGACCAAACGGGCACGCGCCCTTGCCGCCAAAGAGTATAGCCAAAGCTGCCTCATCCAAAGCACCGCATCGTTCCATGCCAACTCCCGAAAAACATCCGAGAGGTCCGCCAACGCAAATCTCTCTGGCCCTGATCTCGCCCTCAACGGTGGAGGCCCTGGCTGCCTGAATCGGAGTTTAGAGACCGTCCGACATGGAGGGCCCCCTATCAGTGCATCAACATTTCCTTTCTCGCACAACTCCGCCAGGAAACTTGTCAGCTGGTCTGATAGGAGATCTTGTCCAAGATCAACCATCTTATCGATGCACA